TGGCACCGTCGCGAGCGTCACAAACCGCGCAGAGTAGCCAAAGCAAGCCCACTGACAGGTCGGCGGAGTCTTACTCCATCCTGAACTCCATCAAGACTGCTGCCATGCATCGTTGAGTGGTCTGTTGCTGTTTGGGGACCTAAGACTTTCTGAGATCTCTGCCCGCAGCTGGTTTGTCCCCCAGGACACCACCGGCCCAGAGCTGCCACTCCTAACACTCCTAACGGCAGCACAAGTACAGCATTCTGAAATAGTTCGATCACTGCTGGTCACTCCTGGGGCTGCCTCAGAGCTCCCGACCCTAGACCTCCTACCACAACTCTGAAAACTAGCCGCAGCCAGCTTTTCTAGGTATCAAGGTCTTGGTCTTGGCACTGTAGGATTGAAGAGGTTTTCGGTTTCGGATGGTCCTACACCGGCTGCTAGTCAGGAGCATCAGCGGCATCATTGGCCCACCACTTTTTGGTGCGGTGAGGCCCAGTGGGTCGCTGAAATGGCAGGTGTATCATGGTAAATTGCCCTCTGGTCTCAATTTTTGAACCGACCCATGTTGTCGATCACCCGCCGAAACCATGGAGTACAGCTGTATCCCTGAAGGGAAGCTGTTGATGGCCCAACAGCTGTCGCAGTCCTAGGCCTCTCGGAGGTCCTTGGGCTTATGCTCCCTGGCAAGCTTGGAGGCTTAACATGCAGAGGGGGGGGGGTCCGTCTCAGCTGCAGATCGCAGAGAGACTTCGATGGCTCAGATAAACACGAATCAGCTTGCTGCCGGGCTTTTGGGTCAATAGGACGGAACCCGTGCTTTTTGTTTTGTTGTAGATTCTTTTTGCTGTCTTTGCGGTCAGTGAGTGAGTGAACCCCGGCCCGCGGCACCACAGCAAAAAATGAGCGCGCCCCAGCAACGACAGCAAAGCCCCCAACGACAGCAAACAAGAAACGCGCCCAGGGGACGGTAAGAGTGTTTTTGTCTACTGTGGTTGAGGTGGCACGTTTTTTTGCTGTCGTTGCGTGCGCGCTTTTTTGCTGTCTGCAGCGACAGCGAACGGAAAAAACACGCAGGAATTACGACCTTTTGTTGATGCCTGGGCAATCTCACCCCGGGAAAGCAGCATCTGGATCCAGAGCTTCCGGGTGTTTTGCGGCTCGTACGAGAGAGCTCCACCCTTGAATTGCTGAGACCCTGAACGTCTGTACTCCGCCAGCGCAAGCTTCAAGCCGAGGCTGTTCCTGATTTTCTTCATGCTAATCGGAGAGCTGAAAGCATCCATAAGGTGTACAGAGCTTCCAATTGAGAAGATTGAGCACAGCAAGTCCTTCGACAACGAGGTTTCGTCGGATTCAGACCTTCAGTCCGTCTGAGGTCTCGGTCCAAGAACGCAACGTGTTCGAGCTCCGCGTTCAGACGGAAATGCCTCGCCTTTTGACGCCAGAACCTCCGAAAGAAGCCCGGGGAGTCTCTTGATAATGTGATTCTCTTTCTGTCCTTGCTTGGCACTTGGAGGCCCTGCGATCAAGAGGCCATGGCCCATAATGTTAGCCAATGTACAGCTGCAACGACCTCCTAAAGAGGTCCGACGACTCGTGAACATCCCTTTGGATCCAATCCTTCGCCGTAGATGCCCTGAGACCGCTTGCATGAACTCGACACTCTTTTCTGTGCAGTCTCCATGCTTCTGGTGCTAGGATCCGAACCCATCACCGAGCAGGTAAGACTCACATCGCCCCCAACGGAAGCATGGCAACATCTTAACTCCCAAGCCGTCGGGTCTCGGGGCGTGTTTGGACCCGGGGGATGAAGCCCGTCGCACAGTTGACACAGCCGCGCGTTTCGACGCTCTCACCGTTTGTAGAGTTTCAAATTTATTCATTTTTGATGGTCGATTTGCTGTGAGACCATTGCTGCACTTCTCGACTTGCAGCTTCTCGCAAAGACGAGCTGGAAAGAAGTGTCTCAGTCTTCCGACTGCCTGTTGGAGCTGGCATTCCCTCTCTTCACTTCCCAGCTGTGCAAAGCAGGAATCTAGCAAGTCCTGAAGCAGAGGATATCGTGTCTCGGTCTCGTTTGCTGTCAGGAACCTAGACTCAAACACAATTCCAGTTCAGGGGGCTTCGTCGCTTCGTGAGCTCAAGACTGAAAGCCACCCGCCCGAGGTGCCGGACATGGCAAAGTTTGGCAGGTCGGAGCAGCTGCATTTCGCTGTACAGGCACAGGGGAGGAAGGGTGCACAGTGTCACGACAGCCTTCATGAAGCCGAAGCTGCCCGAATCTCAACTTGCCGTCGACTTTGAAACGCATCTCGGACGACGAGTTTACCGTCAACGGGTGCTCGCCTGCCAGAAACCTGTAGACCTCAACCCCAGTGATAAAGCTGACGAAGTGATGGGGGTTGCAAGCAGTGCCCTTGCACGGTTTGCTTGCGAGACAGGTTGTGATCCTGCTATCTAACATTGACATAGGATGATGGTCCGAATCATGAATACCATGGTCATGTTCAGAAGCATCGTAAGAACTCTTTCATCACGACCCGCCGGGTTAGTGCAAGAACAACGATTAACCCTTTACCCCTATCAACAGCTGCGATCAACTATTCGCTGGCACGCAGACTCTCGTGAACCACCGCCCAGCCAGCCCGGCAGCCTGGACGCCCGAATGCCTCAATCCAAAATCCCTCGGGCACAGAGGCGGTCATGGCGTACAGAGAGAGCCTCGCCTGCAGTTTAGAAGACTTCTGAGGAGTGGAAGTTGCTGTTGTTCCTCAACTTCTTCCGTGATCGTTTCGGGGTCTGGTTTGCAGACATTTCCTGACCCAGGCCATAGGCTGTGGATTTGGAAGAAGCTCAGACGAAATCTCAGACCTTGGAGAAAGCAGAGCAGGCGTTGGATCTTGGAACCTCAGCCTGGTTACCTGAAGCCGCGACACGATCCGAGCAACTCTGGCTTGCCCTATGCCCAACAAACTGGCGGTTCAAAGCATCCTCGTTATAGCTCTCTCGCTTCGCAGAGCGAGTAGACAAGTGGCTGCTGGGGTGTTATCAGTGAGGTGAGAACTTGTTCAATCAAGCAGATTGCTGACTATTCTGCTACAAAGGAAACATGGCCAACTACCTCCAGTGCGAGATGCAGCTGCGGCAGATGAGTGCGCCCACGACCTAGCCGCGGTTTGCGATCACTCCGCGATAACTGTTCCTGCCTTGAGTCACGAACTGTCACACCTTTGAGGGCACGATGGCGTGCCCGCAAGATAGGAAATGGGAACCCAACGAGGGACATTCACACAAGCTTGAAAGTCAAAACCAAGCCCTCAACCCTTCCAGCTGCTTCTCAGCCCTGCCCCCCTACGTCTTGAAGTCTTCCATAGACGAGGTCCAGCTCGCAAAGGAGATGAACTCTGCAAGGCTTCCAGCTTGAGCTCTGAGTTGTGGTACGCCACGGGCAGACCCTCTTGCTTGAGGATGCTTGCTCGATGGCGAGTTAAGTACACAGAATTTCCGGTTTCAGGGTTCTCGCGCTCAGTCCGATAATGTTGAAGCTTTTGGGGATGGGGAGTTTGCGATTTCATTTTGTGCTTGAGGATGCTGTAAGTTAAGGCCCTGGAACTGCAGAAAGCAAACATTCCGTCTTTGATTCTTAGGCTGCAATGCCAAGATTAATTCGAAAGAACATAATCTGTAGGATCGCCAGATGGAAAGTCAGACACCTAGCTAGTGGATGGAGCCCAGATGACATGGGATGAGCTGTCGGCGTTGTCACTGCATCAGTTTATGGCACTCATCACGGGCACCCGAATAAGATTTCGCAGTGGCCCTTGGCACCTTCTAGAATGAGGTTCAGAACTGCTTTGCCGTTTCTCTGACATGACAACGAGAAATCAAGTGTCGTCAATGGCCGCTGACAGACCTCAAGCATTGAACCCAGCCGTGGCAAGCCCTTCCATTGCCTCAACAGAGCTTTTTGCCCCTCCTGGGCACAGGACCAATGAAGGTGAGCCTTCAGTTTTTGTGGAGGAGGCTGTCCTTGGTTTCCATGTTCTATCATGGGGTGGGGCAAGAGGGACCGAATGGTGAAGTGTCCATAGACGGTTGATTGGGCAGCAGGCCTCTCTTCCGAGGCCCAAAGGCCTCGTAGTGGTTTCTGAGACTTCGTCTTGCTGTCAGAAATAGGTACATGTTGTAGCATGCGCACGTCCGAAGCACCCGAATTAGCTGTGTTCTAAACGCCAAGATGCTGCATGGCCCAGATCTTAGCAAGTGATTACGGTGAATTGGGCGCTGGAGCGGTTGGATTCAGGCTTCTCAGGCATCTGAAGCTATCGTTTTTGGAGTTCGAGTTTATTGTTTGCCTGCATTGGGCCCTAGGAACTGTTGGTGTTCAAGAAGTAAGCTGTGGTTAGGATGAGCATTGGGCAACTAGAAGTTTCATGCGCTCTCGCCCATGAGCCCCAGACCAAGACTTCGTTATCAACCCTCTCACTGCGGATCTGAATCCTCGAGACAAGCTTGGCCTTGGAGGAACAGTTGTCATTGGCCTGTCTGCAGCCTGAGGTAGAGGCAGATGTGGTGAAAAACGTGGCCATGTTGGCCAGGTGTATGCGGGGAACTCAGCATACAGTGTTTTCTGCAGTTTGGACCTGCAGCTATCCAGCACAGCACGAATACAGGTCCTGGCACAAAGTGACAAGTTAAGTTCATGCTTTTCGAACGAATCTGTCGAGAAACCTTCGGGGCGCGACAGGCAGGCTTGAACACCTAGTACGCAGGAAGATTCTGACTCGCCAAGCACGTGCACTTCAGACGGCCCCAGGATCAGGGTTCAGAAGACCTCGCATGGTCAATGGTGCACATCTTTTTCGCGTTGCGCCATGGTCGAAATGCGAATCATCATTGCCAGCCAGTGTCCACACAAGATCACAAACGAACGAAGTTCCCTGGTTGAGCCTTAGACCTGGACACTTAGCAGCGTCAAACCGAAGCTCAAAGGGGCCTTGGCCAGGATCAGCCCGATGGCCGCTTTCTTGGGCGGTGTGGTCGCGCAGGAGGCACTATGCTAGTCGCAGTGGGGATGTCAGCGTGGCTGGGATGAGAAGGACTTCTGGCAGGCCTTGATGGACGTGCGCATGCCACCGCAAGAAGAATCCTGCTTGAAAATGAAAAAGTCTTGGTGACACCCGGCGGAACAATCCTACTTGGCCTACCATGGGTAGTTGTGCAAGGGTGGAGCGGCATCACTTCGGATTTCTCCTTTTCAGGTTTGGGGAACTATCGAGTAGATGTTGACATGTCGCATGTCGAGTTGGATTCCCATAATTCTTATCAGTGGCATCTTGGCTGCAGGTCGTCAAATTCACAGGCAAGTACACGCCATTGCACCAGTTCCTCTACCTGGATATGTCTGTGCCCTAGATTCCTATAGATGTATCAAGAGAATCTTTCGACAACTATCAGGCCTTATGGGTGTTTGTGCGCTGATGACCCTGTCGTGGCTGACGGTCTTTGTGGCTTCAGGTTCGAGCTTTGCCCAGCATCAGAGCCACCGGATTGGAAGCTCGGGCCCGAGGGAATTCGAGGGGTTGGCCCGGCTTCCCGTTTCACGATAGCAAGGCCTCTGGGCAGCCGCTACGACGACCAGATTGCGATCTTCGGGTCCGCCATTCAGCAGGCCAGTGATGAGGTTTCAGAATTTCGGCTAAGATGCGGTGTCACCTTGTGATGCTCGGTTTAGAGTTTAGAGTTTAGGGTAAGAAATTGGGTACCGCGGTGTGCTTTTGAGACAAATGCCACGATCCTGGCTTTGTAACATATACAGCTTCTTGGTCGTATCACGTCTGTCTGTGCAGTGCAGCTCAGAGCCTCCAAGCACCTGTTCAAAAGGTTTCAGCATGCTTCCGGGGTCAGGTGCTTCCCAAGAAATGCAAATCATCTGAAGTGAGAGGCTCGAGATGAAACCGCAGGTCCACGAGCAGGGGTCAATCTAGGCAGGAACGAAATTCTAAACGGCAATGTGGGCCCCTCCTGAGCTATGTGCTGGCCTCGCCCCAGAACTCCCTAATGAACCAGGCGATCTCGAACATGAAGCTGTTCTTAGTTGGCCAGCTCCTGAGATGCGAAGGGTCAGAAGCAGTGGCAGTTTGGCTCGATGTCAACATGGCGTTGGGTTAATGTCATATTTGCCGCGCGGGTGCCGGGTGCGGTTTACAAGGCCGGTCGTTGAGGAATTAGACTGGAGTCTTAGAGAGCAGTATGAGAAAGTTGATTGTCCATAGTGTTTTGGGAGTGGCCCCTTTCATGTTGATCGAGGGCCCAAATGCTCTCCGTGCTGAGCATCCGAGATTCGCGGTCCCCTTCTAGGGTTCCTCATAAAATGGATAGGTGGATCCTGTATTTTGGTGCTTCTTGCGCTTGGGGCAAACTTTTCGATACGGTTCGCGGAAATTGTCGACAGATTCGGGTCCGGAACTTCCTGGAAAGGCCTTTCTTGCCTCTGCTCTTGTGTTTGCCTCGTGAAGATCGAGAGTAGACTCAAGTGTAGGTGCACTTGGTGACCGCCCCGGTTCCCTGGTTCAGGTGCCGGCGCTTTGGGCTGCGAGTTCCTGAAGAGCTTTGCCATGTGCCTTGGCAGCGTCCTGCTCGGCATAAGGCTCAGGCCGAGGTGTTCAAACCCTCCGCCATCGGACCGTCGGGCTCAATCTGCTCTGAAGCTAACCAAGCTCCTCTCTGGCAGTGTAAGAATGCTTGGATGAGCGCACCCGATGGCCTGACTTCAGAACCCAGCACCAAGAGCGCTCCGATGGCCTTTCAGGATTGGAGCTTCTTGTGGCAGTGGGAAGGTCCTGGTGACTGACATGGACAGGATAGAGGCGCTTCGAAATCTTATGTAGCATCCAGGTAATTGAGGCTTTGCTAGGTGTGCGGGGGGGTGTTGTGTACGAATGTTTTTAAGGCTGAGGGACTCCATGCGCAGACCTAGGCACCGCCGACCCGACAAGGAAAACTGTGTGCCGACATGGTCAAAACTTAAACTACGTGCCGACTGCCGACAGGTACAACGTAGATGTCCACCGACATGGTAAAAACTAGAGGTTTGCCGACATGGTAAAAGCAGACTGCACGCCGACATGCTAAAAACGCGTCGACGTGCAAAACAAACATGCCGACATGTAAAAAACTATGCGCCGATGCGAAAAAGCACTGCCGAGATGGAAGAACATAAGCACAGACAGAGTTAAAGGAAAAGTTAGGTTCCTATGAGGACAGTTGACAGTTGATCTCAAAGTGACTGCCGTAAATTGCAAAAGGACTTGCCGGCATGTCGAAAATACGCGCCGGCATGAACAAAACGCGTGCCGACATGCAAAAATCGACGTGCAAAAAATACCTGCCGAGATGGGAAAAAGCACGCGCAGACAGAGTTCAATACACGAGACCTTCCTATGAGTAAGTCAAGGAATTCAGGAGGAAAAATCCAAAGGGTTTTGGGGGAGTTTGAACTTGACGAAGTTGAAAAGAAGCCGTCGACATGCCAAAAACACGCACCGACATTCGAAAAAGCGCGCCGACATTGAAAAACATGCAGCGACATGTAAACCTCTGCACGTCGACATGCAAAAAAACACGCGCCGAGATGGAACAAAAACACACGTGCAGATTGAGTTCAATACAAAAGACAGGTTGCTATGAGGAACTCAGGGAATTCAGGAGGAACGATCCAGAGGCAGTTGGGGGGAGATTGAAAGTGACTAACTTGAAAAGGACCCTCCGGCATGGCGAACGGACATGGCAAAACTTGGCTGCCGCCGAAAAAATCCGCCGACATGCCAAAAGGCACACGCCGACATGCCAAAAACGGGCATGCCAACATGCGCGCCGACATGTCAATACCGACGTTGCGGAGATAACGTTCGGGGCGTGTTTTTCCTTCATGTCAGCGCCCGCGATCCCGAAGTCTGTTAAGAGAACAATACCTCCTGGTGACACGGTGAGCTGCTGGTAGACAAGAAACAGCACACAAAACCCACGGCACCACGTCCTGAAGCAGCCCATAAAGTCATAGAGCTTCCCAGCACGTGACCAGCCTTGACAGATCTCCAACCTCAACCGGCAGTTCTTATTTCGCCAGCCGCGCACCTACCCTGCCCTGCAGTGCATTGCTGGATTACCTCCTGGATGCGGCAGCAGATTTTTTTTAAGTTGTGAGCCATGATAGATGACAGCGTAGACGAACTCCACATGAACAGCAATTGAGGCATCTGTTGTTAAACTGTTGCCATGTGTTTCCGTCGCCTTTGGCCTCGAACACGACAGGGATGTTGATTGGCAACAGCAAGAAATACAGTGTGTTTAGTTTGGGGGGAAGACGGGTTGACATTAGAGTCTAGAGTTTCGGGTTCAGGGTTCCGATGTTCAGGGTTCCGACGGTAAAGTCATCTGACCTTTGAACCGAGCTTGTCAGCTTGTGATGTGGCCAAGCCGCAGGACACTACTGTTTTAGGGCACCCAGAGCCTGCATCAATTTTCCAGACAAAGCATCCACAGCAGCAGGAAGCTACCGCACAAGAAACTCTCTTCGATGTCTGCCGCCTGAATCCAAAGACTGCTTCAGAGCGGCAATGGGTCGTGGTCCTGCCCGTGCGAAGAAAGGCCTCGTTCTGCAAAGAAGCTAATTCTCTCATGACTTTCGCAATAACAAAGCAGGGTGCGGCGCAACCTTCGTAATGCCTCAGGGGTGAAAGCAAAGGGAAAGTTAATAAGACCGGATGTTGGCGTGTTGTGCCCTACAGCGCTGCACAGGCCAACAATGCTTGGACTATCAACCTGCAGCCCCGATCCCCACGTCCTGTCGGCAGGCGAAGTCCAAGCCGATCCGGTCGAAGCCGCGGTCGATCCTAAGGCCAGAGGGGATGCAGGATTCAAAAGCTCTGCTTCAGGGCCGACAGGTGAACAAGCTCCGACGGCGGACGTCTCGCTAGCAGCCCTAGGCCCTATGGGCCCTGCATGGCAGTGCTGCTTTCAGGTGATCAGTGAGATTCTGGAGCGCTTGGCCAAGCTCGAGAAGTGGAAGGTCAGGGGCTTTGAAGGGGTCTTCCGGTGCTGTGTGGTTAGACGTCGAATTAATGTCTGGCAAGTAGGGCATGTTTCATGAAGTCTGTTGGTGTTTAAAAACAGTTGAGAGCCTCGCACTTCTCGGCTTTCTGCCATCCCAACTTTGTCGTCGAAGCAGTGGTTTCAATTCTCTAGTGTTGGTTGAACACGAGCTTTGCATTCACTGTTCAAGGTGTTTTCGGGTTTCTTGTGAGCTTGCGAGAGATGCCCCCCTGTGCGCGGTTCAGAATCTGTCCGGCCGATTACCCTTCCGGCATATGTTGGCTCTGTCTGAGATTTCATGTAGTCGCCGCCCTAAATGTGAAAATTTGAATGGATCCGGATCTGTGGACTCTGCCGTGGGCATAAGCAAGACAAATCTCCCGGCCAGGGCCGACGAGGGCCTTAGCGGCTTATCGCAGTGAAGTCTTCAGGATCCTGAGGCACATGTGTGTCCGGCCAGGCGAAGTGGAAAGAAAGGAAGCGACAAAAAAAAGACAAGGCTGACAAGAAGAAGCAAAAGAGATCGCTCCAGAAGAACGAGGAGGAGGATACCAAAGCCATAGAACAAGTTGCAGTCTTTTGTCGTGTCATTTCAGGGGTCGTTTAGCGGATTGCTGCTCGCTGAGTGACACAATGCCAGTTTGGATTGATGTGTTGTTTTGTGAGTTGTTCGGCTCTTGTCTCGGATGATATGCTGAAGTTCCTGAAGTGTTTCGGTGATGAGAACTCTCAGTGCCGACGAGCTGCATCATAGTTTCGGTGGAAGGCCAGTCGGCGATAAGCTTCTGCCTGAAGCCTTCGAGCCTTCAGACCTGGAGCTCTTGAACCTCAGTGATCGCAAATCCAAGGCTTCAGGGACGTTTGCAAGGCAAAAGCCTTCTCCGCCCAACCAGCTATGATGCCCATTTCCTGATCAAGCCTTGTAGCACTTTCAAGAACTGTTCTCAAGATTCTTCCAGATGCCGGGGCTAAGTAGGTACGCTTCAACATCTTTTTTTGCTAAACAGCATCTTTCATCAGATGTCAAACACTTTGCGAGTGGTTCCTAGATAGACGAGCCTCACAGAACGTTGAGCTCAATCTGCAAAAAACGCCCTGAGTAGAAAAACGACTCCAGCCGGCTTCGTCATAGGAGCGGAGCAAGAAGCGAGCCAAGAAGGATGTTAGCAGCGCGCAGCCGGACAGCACGACCGGACTGCGAATCCCCGGGCTTCAGGGCTTCAAGGGTTCAGGATATTCGGTTGTTGTGGATTGGACTTCGGTGGACCTGGACCGCGCCCTGTCAGCGTTTAGCTGAGTGTTAGAAGGGCTCAACAAGAGCAATTGAGTCGAGCGAGGTACTTTTTTTCTGGAAGCAGGTTGCAGAGCATGTAGAGACACGAAGTTTGCAGTTACTGCGAGATCTATTCAGCATGCTATCTAGGCGTGATTATCCAAGGCACAAGCCGCCTGTTCATATTCAGTCGAACTGCGGAGTGTGACCAAGGCCTGCGCCTGTGAGCAAAGCGCCCCCACCTGAGGCACCCAGACTTCTGTCCGAGAATGCTTGGCGAATGCCGAAAGGTAGTTGATCTTTGAGGGCAACGCTGGATTCGGGTGGGTTGAGTTTTGGGTGCAAAACAAACTCTGTACAAACCTTCAGCTCTCTGCGGCCTTGTGGAGACTCTTGGACACCGTATAGGCATGACACAATGAGAGCTTATGGCGTACTGAAGCATCCAAGAGCACCGAAATCTTACACAAGTCTGCATGGCACGGGGAATGACACTCTGCGACACCTAGCCGCTAGTTCTGAGCTACTTGTATCAAACGCATTGCTTCCCAGGCCTCAGGGAAGGGCTGCGGGGGCGTCACATTCAAGAGCCGGAAGCCCTGCCACACGCTGCAGGTGGATGCAGCGCTCAAGAAGCCCACTGCTGCGAAGAGCAAGCCCAAAGCCAAGGCTAAGAATCTCGCAGCGTCGCTTGGCTTGAGGTCAGTGGTGCAAGGTGTCGGTTGTTGGGGGCCCGCATGCTCCTAGACACGAGGTCCTTCCCGCTCAGCTCCCAAAGCTTAACAGCCCAAAAGCACAGGCTTCCTGCTCCAGTCAAAGGCGAGCCGTCACAGGCATTGTCCGGATTCGTGAGGGGCCTTGAGGGGCGCAGCATTTCATCGCAGCCAACTCCTAGCCTGATCGGCTGCTTCTGCTTTGCCAGGATTCTGGCGAGCAGCCTGCTCGCAGCGAGTCGCGGGCTGAGGGGCAGAACATGGCAGTATCCAAAGCCGGACGCTGTGGTTTGGACCCTGCGCACAACCCGCTAAAAGGCCCGAAACCCTCACTCGGTTGAGCGTGCATCGTGCCTGAGGTATGTAGATTGGATGGGTGGATGGATTGGGTGGGCGGGATGGGTGAGTGGCCGAGTGGCACGTGTTCGGCCACTACAGTCATTCAAGCCTCGGACAGGAGACATGCTGCCTTCCGCATGCTGTATGGTGCATATGGAGTTCGATAGCACAGGGTATGGTGGGCACAGGGGGGGGTCAGGTCGACGCGTGCTTTGAAGCGTTTTAGGGAGACCGTAAACTGCCTGCAACCCCCGGAGCCCATAAGCCCATTGTCCGACCAGTCCCCACCGCGTATGTTCCCAGCCGAAACCATTGTTTGCTGCATCAGCAAAACGCCTGCTTTTAATTTCTGCCAGGCCGACGACATGAGCACAAAAGTTTCAGATTGGAAGACCAGGGCGAGAGGGAATTGGTTCGTGGCCGATCTCCCGAGGCCCAAAGAAGCCGCCAAGCCTGTGGAGGCAGCCAAAGGCTCCAAGATTTTGCTAGACTCTAGCATGCTGCATGCTGCAAATATGCTTGTCAGGGCACATCCCCACGACAGGGAGCATCTTGACACATGAAGATTTGGGTGTTTAGGTTCATGAATTGCGACAGTGACGTTTGACGGGTTTCATTTTTGCAGGTCAGGGTCAGTTGTGGCTTAGGACGATTTTAGTGTCCGAGGTATGCCTTGAGAGCCTTCAACCTCTTGGAGCTGTAGGCTTAGGTCCGTGGATAGCAGGTGTGGCAACGACACTCTGAAAACTGTGCAGGTGGCCTGGAGTAAACACATTTTCACTGCCATGTTTAGGCACAGACACAATATCTATCATTAGCAGTAGCCCTCGAATCCGAAGTCCAGAAAGACCTCCCTGGCTCCGAAGTTGCCGAACCGAAGTTGCCGAAGGCACCGCATGCGAAAATGCGTCTCGTCAGGTCAGGCATCGAAGACCGAGGCAGAAACGGATGCCGCCAACAAGGCCCCCACCGCGTTTTGATGACTCATTCTTCGGAGAGTTCGAGGCTAGGTTCACGCGTGCGTTGAACAATCCTTCAGCTCTGTAATCTGAGATGTTCAGGGGGGCACTCAGGTTTTCGCGGTCTCTGTTTGGGCCCCTTTAGTGCTCGATCCGTGAGAGTTGAAGGCCTTCTTTGCCCGAAGCCTCGTCTTGTGTGCCCGAGGTGGTGCCTTCCGCGGCTCGGGCTTGCACTTACGGGGTGGGTGGGCGGAGGCGGGGCGGGGAAGGGGGGGGGGCTCATGCGAGAACTGGCTAGCACCATCTAGCACCCATTCTGCGGGTGTCTAAAGACCTCTAGACTCTTAGGCGATGATCCAGGGTTCGGGGTTAGCGTAGTGAGGGGTTCTTGTGGCAGATGACACCGTGCAGCTTTACAGGGCCTAGACGAGACCTTGCATGTGGCATCCCAAGCCATTGTCATCGTTCTGTTTCTCTCAGGAACTCGGGAAAGCCTGAGTTCTAGTAGCAGTGTGAACAGAGGCTGCGACTAAGGATCCTCGCGCTGCTCATTGCTGCTACGACATGCTGCAGATCGACAGGACGGCGACGCTGGAGCAGGCCCAAGGGGCGGCCACACCGACTGGCTCGTAGTCAGCACTCCCTGTGAATACTGGCTTGGAAAGTATGGACTGCGGGTTGCAGAGGCCTGCGACCTATATCCTACCAAAACCGGTCCCTCAAATCCTGTCATGATACAACCTGGCAACACCAAAAACCACTTCCGAAAGTCACACTATCTCATGGGAGGTGAAGCGCGCCTATCGGTCCCTTGCGATCAAGATGCATCCGGACAAAGGCGGAAACCATAAAGCCTCTGAGTGGCAATGGGCAGAGTTTGTCTACGATGATCTGTTCGCACGCAGGAAGAAAATGACAGCACCAACAGCGGAAGCAGCACCGGCAGCACCACCCCCACCCCACAGCAACAACGACAACAACATCAACAGCAACCACAACCACAACCACCACAACAACAACAACATCAGCAACAGCAACAGCAACAGCAACAATACCAACAACCGCGACGACGACCACGACCACGACAACCACTGCAACAGCAACAGCCGCAGCCTCAGCCTCGGCCACAGCGACGACGAGCACAAGCAAAAGCACATTCACAAGCACGAGGAAAACACCAGGATGACCACGAAAAACCGCAACACTAATCAACTTGTCAGTTCTCACAAAACAGGCCCTGGCAGGGATGATGATGGAAAGCTTGAGTCCTACCCCCCTCCGCCATCTGTAGTCAGCCTGTTGACAGCGAACACCCGAGACACCGAACCAAACACACTGCTTGAAGAGCTTCGGATGATAATTTGCGGTATGCTTCCTGACTGCGGATGTGGCGGATGTGGCGTTTAGCATTCGTCCTGGTTTCCAGGAGGATAAGTATACACCTGTCAAGCTTTGTCCCATGGTTTGCATCGTGTCCTGGCCGATGACCGAAGGAGCGCCTCAAATCTGCGAAATTGTCTTGTAGGATGGATACCGATACCCCGGCACCGACCTGTGGAGATTGGTGTTTGGCGTGTGTGTGTGTGTGTGCGTGTGTGTGTGCGTGTTTGCTACTTGAGATCAAGATAGATCAAGCATCTACCTCCAGACTATCGCGACGCGATGCTTTTACACCAGCCGTTCCTCTCAATGCCCAGACCCTCAAAAACCGGCTTTGAGGACTTCATTCTGACTTCTAGAATCTGACATTGCGGCAGCATTCACTCGAGCTTTCATGAGGCCTTCTGCGCGCTGCAGCTAGCTTTCGACGTCCTTCAAGACGAGGCTTTCTTGTATGCAGCTCTCACACTCTCACCCTGAGCCGTGAGTCTTCCAACTTGGGAATTGTGTAAATCAATGTTTCAGTTAACCATAACAAGCAGCCTCGCCTTGACACCAAGCCCATTAGCCAAGAGGATTGAGTTCTGGGCTCAGGCTTTGGTAAGTACATCGCTGTATCCTAAGTTCCAAACACTCAATGCGCAGGTGGAGCGCCAACATTACGACCGCGAGCTGCGAGAGTCACGCAGTCGCGACGGCCAAGTAGGCCACGAAGACTGCGGGCTGGTTGAGGCGGTTGAGGTGCAGGGATTGCACAGTCGCCATGAAAAACTCGAAGTAACTTTCAGCCTGGTGCTATCAAACTGTGTTGGTACTTCGATGCCCGCCCTCCAGCAAGTTGACCAGATCAAGGCTGTACATAGAATAGTATGCAACGCGTATACATGAGCATAGATATTTCGTATTGGCATGAATGCATTGCCGGCTTGCCCGTAAGATGTTGGGATGAGGAAAGCTGACGGGAGGACACTCATATACATATATATATATGTTGCAGCGGTATCTACTGAAAACAAAGACATGAATGATGAAGTTAGAAGAGATGGAAGTTCTAAATTTAAATGGAAAACGTAAACGTACTTGAGTGCATACATACATAGGTATACATGTAAAGCTTCAACTTGAACTCAGTGTCGTTGAACTGATAAGGCGCTTTCTCGCTCTCCCCGGCTTTCGGAAAGGGGCGTAGGCAGATCCGACTGCACACAACTTTCCGGAAAGTGGGCATGATACCCTGTCTTTGAAGCGTCAGGGTTTGTGTACGGTGTAAGCCGACAATTGAGGGTTTGGGGTTTTGGTTGTCTCAAAAGGTTTTCTGTAAGCTAACTAATGATTGTTTTCTGAAAGTGTGTTTCAAGAGTTCTTTTGTGCACGGCCACGGTACTTTGGTAAGGCTTTCCTGGAGAAGTTTTCAAGGGACATTGGCGCGAGCGGCAAAGTTTGCTCCGCTTCCGAAAGCAGAATACTGAGTGGTGGTGCAACAACAGCACAAGTCACTGTTTCATCGTCACAGATCTCAAGAAGAGGCGCTTTCTCTCTTCGTGTATGTAAGTAAGTATGTATGTATGCGAGCATGTATGTAAGAGCAAGCGAACTTTGCTGACAAGACGGACTGGCTACTGATGTGGACACCTATCGCTGGGTCGTCATTTGATAAGAAACCGTCCTGAAGCGCGCCGACCACAAGCCGTCAGAGCTGGGTTCGCGTGTCGGCAGTACGGTTTAGGTTTGCAAACATGCGCCAACAGAATTCACGAGTTTCCCACAATAGAACTCTCAAGACCTCAAGAGCCTAGCTGACAGGCCACGCTGTGGAGAGTGGTCCAGTGGTTCAGCCAGCTGCAGTCAACCCTGTGATGCTTCGAGACGCGCTGACCGGCGTCTTGTCAACATTTGCAGGAGGTACTGTGCTTCGTATAGGCGTGCGGTGCCCTGCCACGCATGCGGTAATCCAGGCACGCCTTTTGGCCAAAAAGCTTCTGGCTTGCTTGTTGGAGTCAGGGTGCTTCTGCAGTAGGGTGGGTTACCTCTGATCAACCTGCAAGTTAAATTAAGGGTTTGGAGGTTGCCTCCGCAACTGCAGTGCCGCGAGATAACTGTCAAACCCAGCTCCGACTAGCAATTCGGAGATATGTCCAAAATAGGGTTTAGGGCCCAAACACTAAAAAGCCTCGTCAGTCCCAGGTACTCCTCCGAAGCATTGGCCGGAGATGCTTAAGGAGCTGTTGACAGACAACCTGAAGACGTAGCTCGGTCCGAAACGCATTTTGCTTCGGTGGGGACTTAGGCTTGAGGTGTCTTGGATGTCTGAAATTTGGAAATTGCTTGGGTTGGAGCTTCCCGACAGGGAGTGATAAGTCATGTGCACCGTGCTCCCGTGATGTCCCAAAGCGAACATCGGTTTGGCTGCAATCCAACCGAGCGAGCTAGTTCTCGGACTGTCGCCTGCCTTAGGGCTGGAATATTCGCTGCAGCTCGCTTGGTCGTGTGCACGTGCATTCTGGCTTTGTGGCTTGTGGGGTTCATCAGGCGGTTGCGACCGATTCGAGCCCAGTCCCAAAGAAGCTGCGCACGTTCAAAACTCTTTTCATGGCATGTGTGAACATGGAAGCAGCAGTAAAAGGGCGACTGAACCGCTTCGGAGCTCCATGAATCCTGGTTGACTCGCAAAACCCATCCCCCAATCCTTCTCAGAGACTGAGTCACTGAAGGTTTTAATCCCCCGGCCAGGTTACAGGGATTTCTCAACATGACGCAGCAGCGGCAGAATGAGATTGTCAAGGAGTCGTCAGCTGAAGCCTGCCATGTTGCTGCTGATATGTTCGTAATTTCTATTTTGTGGGAGTGGGTGAGGCAGTTTGGTGATGTTTTAGGCTCAGCTCGGCTTTGCTTCAGGATCCTTCTGCGAAAACTAAAACTGTCTGGAGGAAACATATCCCAGAAAGATGGTCCCTGAAGGGCGGCTCAGTGTTACAGCGTGGCGCGAACCCAGCTAGGGGAAAGGCCAAAACAGTCGCGGAGATGGAGCCATTCAGGTGGGCAAGCTTTGCTGTTGAAGCCCAAATAGTATGTGGGAAGAGCGCTCTGCACGCGGCAAGGAGCACCAGGAGAAAAACCCGCAGCACAGCAAGGCCGGAGTGCCAGGCCTGCTCCAAAACCTGATATTCGGTCCCGTTTAGACCGCACGAAGTTTCAAATTTCTCATGGCAGGCATCACTCGCTCGGGCAATTTCTACTATGCGAAAGCATCCCGTGCGAACATCAGTGGCTCGGCTGGAAATGATACTGGGGACTGTAGGCTAAGAGGCTGGACTGAACTACGGCGTGGAGGGGTGTAGTTATGTCATGGCCTGCACGATTTGGGAAACTCAGGCATCTAGTGACTAGTGTCTGCCAAAATCCACTAAGCTGTCAGCTAGTCCAAGCCAAAACAGTTGCGGCTCAATTCTTCTGATCACGAACTAGTACTTGCCTGGCCCTCACTTCGTTCGCCTTGTTGAGACTGCTTTCGAAAATTGTTATCTAGCTTCATTTGTAGTTGTCATGCGTTTTTTGTCATCGTGTCTCCCTTCAGTCAGTGCATTCTCATGAAATTCCCCAGCACACCAAAGATGGCCACTCTGTTATGTGATTCACTTTTCAGCAAAGTACTGTATTCTCATTAAATCTGTTTTTTCCAGCTCCCCATGACCGAAGCGTAGCCACAAAGCCTCAACCAATCTGGCCGGAGACCACTTGTAGTTCCGACGCATAAGGCTATACAAGGATCGTTCGCAAAGAGACGGCTGGGTCACAAGTGGCCATCGTGCCGCCGTAACGGACTCGGAGCCGCGCCGATGGCTCGATTACAGCGCAGCACATGGTCGCCGGTGAGTTGTTTACCTTCCAAGACCGTAAGACAGGACAGGACGATAGATCCTATGCCAGTTATGTCATCAGATGTAGATTGACTGGCACGACATCGTGGGCGCCTCCCCATCCCTGCAACACACATGTTTTTGGTTGATCGGGCACTGATCCAGAGAAAAGCCAAATCACAGACCAACTCCGCATGATGTTGTTGAAGCACTAGATGAGCTTTTGCCCAAGCCCCAGTTCGACACAACTCCAGAAGGAGGGAAGCCGGGTAAGCCTGTGCCAAGACCCTAGGCATCAACTCCAAGCCTGCTACTTTGGTTGAAGCTATCGATGCCAACATTGCGCTGAAACAGCCTCTCGCCTGCCATAGCTGCGCAACTTTGGATAGTAGACTCGCCTCTTCCTCGGCGATAGCAGCAAGGATCTGGAACATCGTCAAGAAGTATCCGGACGATCTCGAAGGCAGAATGATGCCATGTGATGCTTTAACAAGCCCCAAGTCCATCTGTTACAAACCGAGAAACCTACTTGAAGAGTTTCAGCTTCAAGCAGCTGTGAGTGCTCGAACCTTCGCAGACCAACACGCGGCTAGAGATGAGCCAAAACCTTGTAGGTCCAAGAGAGTCTTTGCATCAGAAAGGAGGTGTCTCGTACATTCTCATACCCCGACAGCAACCTCACAGTGACCCGGAAAGAACGGCTCGTACGCTTGACTCGGTGTCAACAGGCATGACCCTCAGCGTTTGGAAGTTCAACCCTGAGGGTTCAGTGCTGTTTGTGGGGTGGCTACGTCCCGAAGATCCAGCACATGCGTGCAAAAGCCACTGGAGCTGACGTAGCGGCAATCTGGGAGATCGTGTAGGGCCCCAGACTTGTGGTTCAAGAGATGAGAGTTAGGGCCCGGATAAAGGATCCCCTCAAGTGGGGAGGGGACTTCAGACCCCGGTCTGCAGACCAAATAGGCCGAAGGTCTGAAGTGGGTCTGGGACCAATCCAGACCCCCGGCAGGGTCAATCCAGACCCCCCAAAAAAACGCAGTAACTTTGCATACAAAACATGCAGAAGAAATGACACACCGCCCGACATCGCGTGGCGGCGGGGGGTGGAGGGGGGTTGCAGAATAGCATTGCTTGACGGGCCTGGCCAAGTCCTCGTCAGCAACCGGGTGGCAGATCGGGGGCGATGTGGAGATCTGTTCCATCCAGAAACTTCAAACGCAACGACCCCAAACCCAGAAACCCTGAGGCTAGAAACCCCAAACCCATAAATCCTAAACCCGGCAACCCAAGACCAGAAACCGGAACCCCAGAATCCTAAACCCAGCAACCCCAAACCCGGAAAGCCCTCAAACCAGAAACCGTGGAGCCAAGAAACCCAAACCCAGAAATCCTAAACCCAGACGCCCTGAAACAAGAAACCCTGAAGCCCAAGAACCCCAAGCCCAGAACCCGAACCCAGAAACCCCAAAACAAGAAACTGTGAAGCCAAGAACCCCCAACCCAGAAAACCCCAAACCCAGCAACCCCAAACCCAGAAACCCCAAACCCCGAAACCCCAAAACCAGAAACCGTGAAACCCAGAATCCTAAACCCAGCAACCCCAAAGTTCAGGGACACTAAACCCTGAAGCCAGGAACCACAAACCCAAAAATACCAAAGCCATAAGCCCCCCAGCCAAGAAACCCTGAAGCCAGAAACCCCAACCCCAGAAACCTCAAACCAAGAAGCCCTGAAGCCAGACAACCCCCACCCAGAAACTGCGCACAAACAAAGCTCGACGAGATATCGGCCACAGTCATGGACGGCGGGAACGGGTCGCCCGGCCACCAAACCGGTCCCAAGGGGGTCTGCGAAGCTGGGGCGGGGGCAGGGGGGGGAACGGGTCGCGGCCCTTCTCGGCACGCTGTAGCGCCTGCGGTTAACGTCGTAAACTCTTTTGACTCACCCAAGTCCCAACAGTAGAAAAGAGCGAGGGGGGGAACGGGTCGCGTTCCGGCTGTTGCTGTTTCTACTGCTACACCTGCGGCTGCGGCTATGCGAGCTGCGCGGCTACGGCTACGGCAGCGGCAACTGTGACTACTCCTTCTGCTACGCCGACGGCAACTGCTACTACTGCTGTTACGGCCACTGTTACCGCTGCTGCGCTAATGCTACTGCTAGTGCTACCCAGAGGCGCTACAAAACCCAGAAACATCCAGAAACGTTAAGCCCACATGCCTTGTACCCAGAACCCTTGAACCCAGAAACCCTAAACCGCTGAAGCCAGAAAACCAGAAACATCCAGAAACCTTGAATAGAAACTCTAAGCCCAGAAGCCTTGCATTAAACCCAGAAACCCCAAACCCCTGGACCCAGAAATTCGAAGCCCAGAAGCCCTATATAAACAGAAACATCAACCCAGAAGCCCGAAAAAACCCTGAAACCAGAAACCCTCCCCAGAGATTGTGGCTCGAAATGAACTTGGCACCCACACTTCAGGAGTACCATGCCTGATGGTGCACGTGCCCGACAGTCAGACGACATATACGGGGGAAGCCAAAGAACGTTCAAGAAGCGCATCTTTCATTTCTTGTGCCTGACAGCATGCGGAGCACATAGGGGGATGTCAGTAAATGAAGTTTACCTTTTTCGCCCCCCCCCTCCACAAGAAACATGGTGGATACCAAGGTGTCCTGGCCTGAGCACGGCACCGGTAACCCAAGCAGACGGTTCTTTTGGAGAAGAGTGTCTGTGGCCTTATTTTAGCAAAAGAACGGCGTCCAAACGCCTGCGGAAACCCTCCTACCCGACGTCTCCATTAGGGGATGGGGCGAACGGGTTGGCGGGTTTTCAATGCTGTTGTTTCCGGAAGCCGCTATTCCGCAAGCATCGCCAAGAAGATCCCCAGGATGCCCCCAACCCACCCCAAACTCAAAATATCATGCGTCAAGACAGACAATTTGAGACAGCCGGAACAGAAACTCATCAGTGCCACTGACTTCCCGCATCGAGCCCGAAACCGGCACAAACAGTATGTGTATCCAGGGGTTGGAGATCTCTTGGGGTCTGAACTGTGTTTTGGCCGTGGGGTCTGGATTGCTCCAGCGTTTTGAATCACAGCACTCGGGCCTCTGCTATCCAGACCCAGCGAAAAGGTCTGGATTGACCCGTGCCGAGGCAGACCCCCCCAGACTTGACCCTATGATAAAGGTTTGGTGCAGATCAGACCATCTCTAAATGTCCGCATCTCCACTCATTAAGTTTGGATTCGACCGAACACCAAACTACCCTGAGCGGCAGGTGGACTGCGGCGTGCCGTGAAAGAGCGCCGAGAGATCGACCAAGACACCATTTTCTTCATGAGGCCAACATGTTGCCCACCGAGGGTCACTACAGCTTTTTTGCTCGCAGGCTGTTAAGCAGCTGCCACGGCGACGAATTACTTTCATTCTCGATGTGGTGGTTACTGGTGTTTCTGCTGTTGCTTGCATGCGCACGTCGCTGCGGCCATTACTGCACCAAAGTCAGGAACAGAGGGTGTGACAAAGTTATGACGATCGTTCAAAACTGTTGCTGAAGGAAGTCTGTTGGTCACTGTGACTATCCTTGTCATGACAATGATGACTGCAGAAAATGATACATTACGCAGACTATCGTGGCTCCCGTCGTCACGGTGGTGGCCGCGTGAGGAAGAATGTTGATAACAGTGATCATGATAGTGATGATGATGGTGATGATGGCGATAGTAGTGATGACGGTGAACATGTCGATGGCGGAAGCTGTGACTGTCGCGGTTGCATCGGCGGTGGTGACTACAGAGGTGGTGCTGTCGAGTTCCTTGTTTGATGGCGCTGTATGCATTAACCGGAAAACTGCCCTGGCCAAAGAAGCAGTATCAAAATACCTGTCAGTCTCGTCTCGAGACTTGGAGTGTAGAGAACGTCTGTTGGAGGGTCACGCTATAGCCCTGTGCCTTCTCGAGGCAGCCTCTCCCATGTCGCAAGACTGCTGAAGATACTGAAGATACGAAGCCCAGAACCAAAGTGGCGATGTGGGTAGATGTGGTAGATGTGGTAGATGTAGATCCAGTGCCCGGAGGTTCCGCTTGGACTTCAGATGGGAGAGCGTGCGCGTAACAACACCGTGCCCGGGCAGTCGGGTGAGTGGGTTTGGTTCAGGACTTGTGTTTTTTTGTGGTTTAGGCGAGTGTCCCATGGTCGAGCGACAACATGCCCGTCTGGCAAAGGGCTTTTCAACAAAGCCCTCGAAGTCAACGCAAACAGTACGGCAAAAACCCCATTTCACAATCGTGGAGTGTCGAGCAATCCGTGGGTCCTCAAATCCCTAAAGCCCAGAGTTTCGTTTCAAAAGCGTTGGCTCCAAAATGAAGCATAGCAGCATATTTTGTAATGGGAGCATGCCAGTCGGGGCATAAAGTCGTAGGTTCCCGGCGATTGCAGTCCGTTTTCCGCCGGCCGGCGTGGTCACACCTGACTCCACGGTCCGGACAAGGTCCTCGTATATGGAGGGGGGCTTTCACAGGCTCGAAAACTGCAAACCTGTTCTACCCTGCGCCTCGCAAGACAACGACGGTGACGCCGTGGGAAACTGAGGCAGAGGAGCGACGTTGACAGCTTGCTTCGAGATCGCCGCACTCTACTCAAGCTCGCAGAGAGCCTTGGCCAGGATGCTGCGGGCTGTGGGCAGTTACCCGATGCTTTGTGTGATTTCCGAATGCCGAGGCGCCGAGCTTCGAAAGAAGAATTCCTCAAGGCACAACAGTGCTGACCTCAGATCTGATTCCTTGCCCAAGCTTGGAGCCTCAAAGCGAGGCGCAAGCTCGAGGACCTCTTCCGAGCCTCAGGTTCTTAACCCGTTCAAAATTAGCAGAAGGTCCGTCGTGGATGGACAAAAAATTCAAAAACTTCGAACCGCCCTGCAATTGCAAAAGCATTTGGGGAATATGCTAATGGCACTGAGCTGCGCAGGGCCATGAGGGAAAATGCACAGGAGGAGCTGGTAGCAGCTCGGTGGCAAGCAATGGGCTCTTTCTTTGCACTGTGATGCGTGATGGTGCCTCTTGGGGCTTCTTCGGGCTTGAAAGATCTGTTCCAGAGCACCTCTTAAGCCTTGCCCCAATCTTTGGAATCCTCGAGTTTTTCCGTGAACATGCTGAGGCTCTAAGGCTGCAGGCCAGCGAACTCCGTCGTAAAGGGTGAGCCGGGTGAGCGGCACAGTATACACTTCTGCCTACGTGCAGTGGGCCACTATAGGCAGTCCGCAACCCTTTTGACCGGCCCTGAACTTTGATCGTCTGGCTTTGAGAACTCAGGCACAGCGAAACCATACAAGCGTGCGGCAACAGCTTGTAGCAGAGGCAGGAACGCAAGAGGGTTTCAGCCACTTTTGGTGGGCGCATGCAGATATGTCGAGCCATTGTAGCGCACAGGTTGCACGGGAGGTCCTGTGGCGCCACTCTGCAGACTCCAGGAGTTTGTAACTTGTCTGCGTTTGAGCACCAGACAGGTTTCTCTCCCGATTTCCAGGTCAAGATCAGTCACTCGAAAGTAACAAAGTCTCATTGCGCCGAAGGCTGCAGGTTGCAGTGCTGTCGGGTTGAAAGTTGACTACGAGCCTGAAGCAGGCAACTCACAAGTCACAAGCCTGAACTTCTTCTTCCATCGCATGTTAAACGTTGCTGCCCACTTCGTCCGCATCCATGGGCTTATTGCCTATGCCCGGATTGAACTTGAAGCCCAAGCGAATTCAAACCCTGTTCGACAACGCCTGCCATCGCCAACGCACGCAGCGTCATGTCCGAGGCTGTCGTTGAAAAATCGAGCGGATGAGGCCTTTGGCGGGTAGAGGGATTAACACCTTCGGGATTCGGGTTGTATGCAGAATTTTCACATCATCAACGACGATCACGCCTTTCCTTCTTAAAGTGCAGAGCCCACATCAGCAAGCCCAGATCCGACAGCACTTCAATCCATAATATGTCGCGGTGCCGCAGCGCATCTTGAAACACCGATTGTCGTCTAGGGTGAGAGGATGGTAAATGTCAAATAATTCGGGTATTACATTGTCCGACATGGAGATCCTAGCCCAAACCTCAAAACACCCTTGACAAGGACACCAAAGAAGCAGCAGCCATGTCACAATCACCACGGCCACAACTCACCCACCAGCCTCGACATGAGCGCCGAGTGCGAACCTGATCACGACAGCCATACGTTATCATCATCGTCGTCGTCTCCGTGATATCCATTGTCTCCATTCGTCCACCGCCGCGACCACCGCCACAACAACAACAACAACGACGTTAACAATAAGAATCATCAGCCTTATCATAATGAGATTAGCCATCAGGACGGCATGCTTTCTTGCGTGCGTGGTACCAGTTGCCAGGACAGAAGGATGCCCAACATGATACCATCAGCTTGCTTATCAACTGCAATGGTGTTAGCCTTGACTGTATTGCTTGCACTAGTCATACAGGTGCCAGCACCGTTATTAGAGTCGCATTCACCCCCATTTTAACCCATGGCCCATCATCATCACCAGAAACATCCGTTTGTTGCAACTTCTGCTACCTACAGGCACGTCGAGGCTGCAGCCTGGATTCGTAGCCACAGGTGGTAATGATGCTGGTTGCGATAGTCTTGTTAGCTGTCCTTTGCTGGCAGTGTAATTTGCTAATGATTCCAAGCTTCAGTTCTGCAAGACGCCTACTACAACAAAATGCGATTCTGGCACTTCAAGGCATGCGACAGGAAAGATAGTCAGTCGGGGTTGAATTTTACAACTGCGCATATTTTGCTGATCATGTACTATAACCCGATTAGTTGAACTTGCGTTGGCACGATTCCCGGCGTCCCCCTTGCCCGCAGGCAGCGTCGGACCCTGAGAGCGGAGTCCTCAGACACGTGCAGTTCATGGACTCAGTGCGGTGCCAGGGTTACCGCTAGCATGTCGCAGGTTCTCGACTAACGCATGAAGACCCGAGATCTCTGGCTTGCAGCTCAGGCTCCGATTCGGACTCGTCCTCATCATCGTCATCGTCCTAGATTCTGGAGCCTGGCTTCCAAAGCGATGCGTTTCCAGTGGCTGAGCTTCGCAGCTTCCGGTCCGACCATGAAGAAGGAAGAAGGAGGTGCGTCCTCCTCAGCGCGCCTGCGGTCATCGAGCTGAAGCCGCTGACTCCGACATCCACGGCTCGATCCGGCAGGGTTACATTCGTAGCTACAGCTGACGGAGAAAGGCGCATGCGAAAATGCTGTGGGTATGAGGGTGGATGCAGTTGCACTCATAATTACGGCCGAAGGAGACCTGCACTGAATGGTAGCGAGGCTTAGTTGACCTGCTTATGTGAGTATATGTTCATGCTGCTGTTTCCATGCAGGGAATCTTGCCACAAGAATCAGACACTTGATATGCAACTGCTTTTTGTGCGATCGGCCAAACTTCATGGCGTCGAAGCCAAGAACCCTCGTCCTTCACGGTCCGGCCCTGTGACCAACACGTGCCCGAATCACATCCCCGGACTGAAACGGGCGCCCGTTAAGCTTTCCGAAATGGGAATTGTGGCAATCCTAAAGCCTGAAGTAATCACCAAGTCTTTCCTCACCCCAAAATAAGTTTTCACATCCAAACTCCGACTTGCTGCAGGCTCAAGCGACCCACCCTTCACCCCTCGCAAAACCGCTATAACAGGCTATAACCTCTCCCCGGCAGCGTTTTCTTTGAGGTGGTTCGTTTTGTTTGCACTCCCGAGGACGGACGTGGGCAGCTCAAAGTCGCAGGTCGCCGCGCGGGCGGCCAAGGCCCGGAAGCGGATTTCCAAACTTCAAGGGTCATCTCCTTGATTCTACATCAGCAGTCTCTTTAGTTTGTGTTCAACCGCAGCATTTCAATTTCAATCGGGGAGTTCTGGGTTCAGAACTACACGGGATGCACCCAGAGGCTCTCAGAGGTGCCCTTCTCATCGGAAAATATTCTGAAGGAAGAGGCGACACCAAGATGTTGGTAGGCACTGCACACAGACTCTTCTCACAGATTCCTCGATGAACACCAAGCCTTCTGGAAGTTTGATAGTATATGGTTCCGGCTGGTTGTTTGCGCTGCAGCGGTGGAGACACTTGTGATGGTCATGTGCACGAACCATGAACCGCAACTCGCAGCTGCGGGACCTGCAAAAAACTGTTATTGGAGCGTTGATGCTCGAATACCCCCAAAAAACCCTGTGTTTTCAACCACGAGGCTCCTGTGGAAGGCTACCCAAACAAAGAGATACAAGATGTTGTCATACAGACAAGGGCCCTAAAAACTACAAACTAAAATACCCGTTCGAGTTTCATCGGTCGGTCATGATCTTCTGACTTTATGGAGGGGGGTGAACACCGCTGAATGCAGCACATGCAGGCAATGAATGCCGACCTCAAGTTGGATGCCATGGAAGTGCGTCCTGTGCTTGGAGGGAATTTTCGTGTTTCAGGATGCAGGGAATTGGGGTTGCTTGCTGCCACAGGTTGCGACAAACGACAGTCCACTGAAGCCCAACATCCTCGACTCCCATTGCCATGCAGCAGGAACCAGTTCCCGGAACACTCGGAGCCCGAGGTGTTGGCCCGGATACCGAAGAGACCTTTGACGACGCCTTCTGGGACAGCTTGGACTGCGTCGTCAATGCGCTCGACAACATTCAGGCTGGACTCTCAGACTTTTGCATGGAAAGGCTTCAGGATTTTGCACTTCCGTCCGTGGTCGGATCCGATCCAAAGTTCTCGTGCTGAAGGAGTTCAGGAATTGGTGGTTGAGGGATTAGGGATCAAAGATCTTGTCTCTGCGAACCTAGCCGTCCGCCGACGTGATGTTGGCTGCCTGTGCATGCTTCAAACCGCACTTTCGGGCCTGCGAGTGCCTAAACTGCACTTCTTGCAAGACAAGCCTTCAACCAGGGACCCTCAAACCCTTAAACCCGAAACCCCAGAAACCGCGGACCTCTGTTCCAGCGTGCTCCTTGAAAGCGTGGCTTCCCGTCAAGGCCCGGATGTACGTGGACTCCCGGTGCGTCTGGTTTAGCAAGCCGCTCCTCGAGTCCGGGACGTAGGGAGCCAAGGAGAGACACCATGGGCCACCTTGCTGCCACCTTGCTGCCTTGCTATTACCAGGCAAACCGAGAACGCCCCAGCCACAAACTTTCGGGTTTACTAGTTGTGAACTCGACAAGAGGAGCCCGTTCAACGGGTTCCGTGAAGCCTCGGCAGGGTGAGGGGGTGCTCTGAGATCCAGTCGCAGAGGCTTTGGGCGTACCATGGGCCTAGCATGTCTGACTCGCAGCGATGCACGAAAAGACATAGAGAACTCCATGCACACCACCGCAGTGCAGAAGTCTCGGATGTGAGGCTGCAGGGCCGTTCACCGACCGTTTCATGCGGTCAAAGCGACCCTGAAACCCTTGAATCTGAATCTCAAGCCTTCAGTCTTCAACGATGCAAGCCCAAGACCCATAGCTTCGGTCAGTCTTTTCCAAATCAAAGGCTCGGGACAAAGGCCAACGTGCAGGTGGTGCTGTGCGATCCTTGGTATTTGAGGATTTGGGCTTAAAGCTTTGCGGACGGACCAGTAGCTCCAAGCTTGAGGTTAAGGCGATCGTAGGGCTTTCCGGTGTCATGCCAATCGGCCACATGTCGGGCCTTCCCGGCTCACGAATTTCGCGCTGTCATGGACGAACCCGAGCTGTCATGATTGGTAGCTTAGGCATGCAAGGTTGACCATGGGTCAAAATCAGTAAAGTTTGTAGAATTTGTTTGATCTGGATGTGGCGCTCACCCGCATACCAACTCTTGTGCTGCAGACCACCTGCTGCTGCATAGCAAGCGAAGCACAGCCCTCAAACAGCCCTGACAAGCTTAAGCTTAAAACCTCGTCGACTCATGGATGCTGCAAAGCGCAGGCACACTGTCCCAGGTAACCTGAGGTTGTTGTCCTGAACACAAAAAAGCCTCGCTGCGGAAGCTCCTTGAAGCAAAGAAGGCCCAAGATGACGCAGTCCTACGGGGACTCCCAGGAGCCACGTGCACTGCATGTTCCTAGTGGGCAGGATTTTCGGCGCGCAGTACAGAGCTATTGGTTCAAATCTTGTTTGGGCCGGGTGGGCATTTGCGGTGTGTAGCTCAGTCAGCCTAGAGTCCACGAAGCATACACCTTAGATGCACATCCCTTTGCAGCTGGGATGCCCCCAAGACTTCTTTCTGCCTGGCAGGCTCGTGAAGCCGTGAATCCCGAGCTGCCGAAAGCCTTCTGAATTTCCTCCAGCATGCTCAGCCTGCATGGAGGATCCTCCGGAAGAGTCGATCCCACTATGCACTGTCAAGGCTCAAACTAGTTTGTCGGACTTCTGAAGTTTTGACCTGTTTGTGTCCGTAAGCAAAGCCTGCGTGGAAGAAATACGAAAGACATCACCGTTCATGCTCTGCCAGCAACTGGTTGAAGTTCGATCTTTGATTTTTAGTGTTCAGCAATATGTGCTGTGCCCAACTGCCTGTACTCCAGCTCTTACCCGGTAGTTGAAGCCTGTCCATTTTAGGTGCGTGCAGCCAGTGGCGATTTGGACTTTGATCATGAGAAATCCTGTCAGCTCGAAGACATCCTGACAACCGTAAGTGTTCTCTTGGACCTGCCTTGGTCTCTGTGAAAGCCACCTAAGGCCGAGCCATCGAAGCCCGAAAGCTTAAAGCTCTGAGCACTCAAAGTTGTCAAAAGCGACTGGAAGCGAGAAGCTTATGGAGGCTCAGAATCCCGCACATCTGCACATCTAGCACATGCGGCAGGGCTCTTCCATTCCGGTCAGCTCCAGACTCTCGAGTAGAACTCTTGCCTCCATGTCCACCGTGCCCAGCACTTCCCGAACGCCATCGAGCACACCATCGAGTGGGCCATCGACTGAGTCTAAATTGAACACGGCACAGGGGTCATCTTGACCTCTTGTCTTCAACAAGCCGGCCTCACCTCATCCGCAAAACGCAAATGTTGACATTATTTGCAGTCCAAGCATAAGATGCTTGAATTTTCCCATTTGCCCATCAAAAACGAACGAAGCGAAGTGCTGGATTTTCGGGTCTTGAACATACGTTGCCCCAATCAGCCTGGCCGAATTGGGGTTTAGCGAGCCGAACCTTGCTTCAACTCGGTTTTCTCCAGCAGACCAGCCTCCAAACGACCTGAGTCCGGGAGCTTGTCTACAGTACTGCAAGCCCAGGCTGCCCAGGCCCCAAGCCGAAGAGCCGAAGGACAAACGTGGGAAGCAAAAACTTGAACCGTTTCGGGTTGGGTGTCGAGGTGCAGGAGGCTCTCCTGCAGAACACAAACTTGTGCAGCCATGTTTGCTAGAAGAGTTCGCTCGTGCTTACCGGGTTCTTTGTGGGACAAAGCGTTTCGAAAGGGACTGCAAAGTATTGAAGTAAAGGCTTCTCAAAGGTTCTCGCGGCGACACTTCCAACTTGCCCATGGATTCTGGAAGTTTTCGAATCTTGTCCATGCTCCTTTGTTCATAATTGTGACACCTGCATGCCGTGGGGTTGGCAACCAAGTCCTACAAGCCAGAAGCCAACACCTTCAGGCTCTAAACCTAAGCCGTTCCAAGGCCCGGGAGGCATTCGAGCAGCTGTTCGTGGAGACCCCACGCGAGGACACTACATGTTGCTCATGTTGCTCAATCACCTAGCACAGCCAAGCTTATGTGCACTTCCCGTCAGGGCAACAGCTTCCTCGAAGATCCGGAGTCGTGCCCCCTTGACGACATGCTGAACCTCTTCCCAACTCTTGGATGACTGGCTTGGAGTGGATGCTGCTCTTTTTTGGCCCTGATGGGGCTTTAGGTTTTGGATGCGGTGTTTGGCTCATGGCTTGGGTGGCCTGGGGACTGCAGTACTTTTGGCTGCCTTACCCCGCTCCAAGGCATCATGCGCTGATAGCAGGTTGATCGCTGGAAGGCGCCAGGCATGCCGAAGAATTTCGTAGTCGTAGCCTGCATGATGCCTGGGCCAATCTCGGCATCCGACCCGGACACGATGTTGGCAAACGCGAGTCTGTGAGTCCGGTGCTCGGACAACCGTGGTCGAGCATTGGATATGGAAGGCATACACGGCACTAAATAGGCAATGCTCTTGCCGAACGACCAGGCACACGGACAAGCAGAAGCTCGCACCTAGCGAGAATGAACTGCTAGACTCTAGACAACTCTGCCTACGGGTTGGACAATCGCGAACATCAAAGGCATAGGCTATGCGGAGTCGTCCCAAAGCATGACGCCGCTGTTGGCAGCCCTGATCATCGCGAAACTTGACACTGGGCCTTCGCAGGGCACTGATTTTGCTGTGGGACCTCGCAAAAAGGAACCTGCTGACAGCCCTTGTCTTGGACAGAGTTGTCCGGGGCTCACGCGTCCACCAACACCATCCAAAACCCACAGCCACACACCCACACCCACTCACGCACCCACTCACGCACCCACTCATCCACAGCCACACACCCACACGCGCACACACACAACCCCCCCACACACCCACACACCCACACACCCACACACGCACACGCCCACACAGAGACACAGACACACAGACAGACAGACGGACAGAGTCTCACTCACTCGCTCGGAGCATCGTGCAGGCTACAGGGGTTACGGCTCAACACCCGCTGGTTCCTAGCCAAATTGAAATCTTGGGTCACATGTCAACTTTCTTTTGACAAATCGTGTTTAGCAGATTAGCATTTGTTGGAGCGGAATGGCGGCTTGGAGGTACCTTCGGAAACTGCCGACGACGGGATCCGGCACGTCGCAAGTGCAGCGCTTGCGCTCCCTCCAGCACATGCTGGATAAGGCGCAAACAGATCAGAAATTCAGGGTCCACGGCGGAGTCTTCCTCCTTATGTTTCTGGGGGCGAGCTCTTCCATCGGCCCAGCCATTAGCCGGTGTTTCAGAAAGGTACAGGAATACTCGCAGTACTTTCGAGTCCGAATCCTGAGATGCCCGGTGTTTCCTCCTCCTTTCGCCGCACGCTCTTTGCAGCGCACGATGGCCTTCGACGCGTGTGCCGAATACGCGGTGATGGAGTTCCAAGAGAAGCTGGGGCCTAAGATGGAAGGCTTCGGGCACAGACCATAGACGTATCGATCCGAAGCTCGTAGCAGGTTCCACGACTCCATCGTGCAGTTGCTCCACACCTTTCCGCTAGACCATGTCGGGGGCCTGAAGAGCACAGATGTTCGAGCGTTGGGTTCTAGTCATGGAGATGTTTGAAGGTTTGGGCCAGGGTGCTTTGAAACTCACGCTTGCCTTGTGGGAGCGAAGCTTCGTCACGACAACCCATGTGGATTCGGGTCCATGGCGGAAAATTCTTGGAGTGTTGAATGGCTGTTCAGCGGCCAAGCCTTAAGAACAAAAGTAGGACTTCGGATCATGCGTGCAGTGCGTGCCGGGGTGGAATTGCTTAGGGTTCGAAACCTGGAATTCTTTCCCCCTGCAGGCACGCCCTCGCGCCCCTTCTAGGTAAGCCGAAAAGCGGTCTGAAAGGCTCATTATGCAGGAAGTCCTGACTTGGGCTTGGAGCTGACTTATTCGTGGAGTCTCCCTTCGATCCTGGGCCACCTTGGCCCTTGGCTTAGGTGACATCTGAGGGTACGAAGTTCTGGAGTGGACCAAAGCGTCCGCCGGCGCCGATCAAGGCAAGGCCTACCAGTAGCTGTGGCCTTGATTTTGTTGCTTCTTCTCAGGGGCTTAGACTTAAATTGAAGGTTCTGAAACTCGACGCTTCAAGCACAGCATGTCAAGGCATTCATCCTAAACCCTACACCCCGGGTTTCGTGGTCGAGGATGTTTGCTTGTGGCCTTGATGCGCATGTGTTTGTGGGTGCGGCAAACAGTGTCATGGACTCAGGAATTGGGATTGTTGTTGTTGCTGTTGTTGCTGTAAGATCTTCGTTCTACGTGCAAGGTAACCTCGAAGAGGGCTATCGGGAGGGAGTCAAAGGAATAGTTTTACAGGTTTCCGACTGTCGCGAATATGGCGAGTTTACGTGTCATAAGAAAGCGGAAGTTCAAGATCTCCTTGGCCTGCGACGGGAGCTGTGACCGTGCTCTGAAACTCTGTACCGGGCGCTGGGATCGAGCCAGGCCTGTGTTATGCACCTCCGCACCGTGCCAGCTGGAAAGCCATCCCAGCGACCCTGCACCTAAGTCATCGCAATCCTCGGCACGCCAGTTCGACGCGAACGACGCTCTGCATGTGGACTTCCTTCTCGCAGCTGCCAACCTATATGCTGCCAGCCTAGGCCGTGAGGGGTCTTCCGGGTTTGCGATATCCAGCGATAGCGTTGAGAGTGTGAGAGCTTCATGGTCTCGGGGTGTGACAGGATGCCCGGCAGAACATTCGGTTTGTGGGAGGAGGGTCGGGTTTTCAAGAATCTTTGGCTCTCAGGACTTCTCTTTCGGGTATCATGTCGCAGCCAAGTGTCCATCGCCGACATCCTGCATTGGGTGCACTTGTCGGGTGGTAAGGGCATTCTGGCCCACCATACAGCCTGAACCTGAATTCGCAAGAACTGATTCCCACACACCTCAGACTTGCAAACCTGCAAGGCGTTCCCGAGAATCGCGACCGCACAGCAGTGGCAAAAATGGCGGCAGCTGTGAAGGCTGGCCAGGGCTCAGGGAAACTGGAACTCGCTCTCACACACGAAGACTCAAGACACGAAGGGCAGCATCAGAATCCTTCGGGACTTGCTAAGTTTTGGAGTTCTGCCGCCTCAAAAGCACCAAACTGCGCTGCGCTTTGTTTTTTCGTCGCTTCGCCTATCCGTGCTGTCAAAGAAGAACGCATCAACCTTTGACCTGTAGGGTTTTGAGAGCAATGAGATGTTGGTGGGATTGTTTTCTCCTAGCTTTCGTTGGGTTTCCTCTCGCATGAAAGCCCTTCGTATCTCAGACTTGTCGAACCCTTCCCCCGTGCTCCAGGTGCCTGACTTCAGGCCGCGAGAAATGAAGATCAAAGTCGACGACAAGGCCAAGCATTGGACTCCGGAGAAGTTGGAATTTTTGCTTCAGGCTAGGGCCTGGGGTCAGAGAACTAACCTCCTGACGTTTGAGAACTAACCTCATAGTCCACACGCTCAACCTCCAAACACTTGGGCCGAAAGCCAGAATCTGTGGTTTCTTTGCCGTTGCCCTTAGTTCTGGAATGACTCGAATGACTCTTCCGTGCTCTGGGGGATTGCTGGCTTCCACCTGACATTTCTTGACCTTTCAGATTCAGTAGCTTGTACCGACGCAAAGATCCCGGACACCAGCTCTTTCCGTCTTGTGAAGCATGTCCAAGCTTCGCTGACTATGTGCCGCGCAAAGCAGCTTCAGTACTCAACGAGAAATAGCAGCCTTCCTAACATGTTCATGAAAGGGTAACTCTACAACAAGCCTATCGCAATTGAAGCGGTGGCTGGTTCAACTCAAAGTCCAACATACGCAAAGCTTTGCCCGGCGCAATGAGCTTAACTCGGAGCCAACCACAACCATGCCTGGCATGGAAGGCCTCGGGGCGATGACTGCTACGTCAATTAGGTAGGTACCCAACTGGAGCCAAATTGTGAAGCATGACGACCAACAAAGACACAATTCGACAAAACCAACACGGTCCACACATGTCCACACTCGGCTGCGCACTTGCAAACCACGAAGCTGACACAGGCGCTAAAGCACGTGCCCTGCCGTCACCTGAAGACTCCAAGCGTTGCAAATTGAACGTGTCAATCTGCGCCTGTACGGGTGGCAAAGCAAAACGTTGTTGAGGTGACTGATCAACAAACTCAAGATTTGATTTTGCAAGTTGCCGTTTTGCAGTTTGCCGCACACTGCACGGCTATACAGCCGGTGCACCAGGAAAGAGACGCTCAGCTTCGCTTCAACATCTACCATCGAGTTATGGTAACCGTCAAAACAGGCCTTCCCTTACAGTGCTCTCCAAGTATTATGAGCCGGCACCTTACAGATTTTGATCGTTTCGCAATCAACCACTGCAAACATCCCCACAAGTCTTGGTTACACCAAGCAGCACCAATCGAATTACCCTGAAGCAATTCTTCTTCTGCTGGAGCGAATGTCAACAGACCACGCAAAGGACACAGCAAGTATGCCAGCGAGGATTTCTGTGCGGCCTGAATTTTGATGCCCCCCTGGAACCACAGAACCCTCAAGAAAGTTATGCGACCACTCCCCTTGCACGACCGTGCAAGCAGCTCCCACGACTTACAAGACGGTTGCGTCGCGATGCGCAGGTTCCGTCGACAAACAGCAGAAACTGCGTCGTGTTCGGCATTGCTTTGGACGGAGTCAACGTGATCTCGCTGAGCGCGCACTACAAGTCCCAAGCGGACTGATGAACATCAACAATACCGAAAAACTTGAAAGCTTCTTTGTGTTGTTCCAGTTTATCAGCATCAAGACCTGAGGAATCAAGAACGCTGCCTAAATTTGGACATCTGGACGATGGAAGACACCATCTGCACCGCTCCAGGACACCAGCGGAGAAGCTTGCATCGACGACGATGCCCTTGCCGTGGCCTGAGTTGTACACATCGGGTGATGTCGATTTCAGGTTTTGACTTCTGAGTTGGCTGGTCTGGCAAGGATTAATAGAACTTACTTCTCGGAAAGTGGGACCTTGCGTGTAATTGACTTCAGATTGAAGTGGTGTCGCGAGTTGTGGACTTCATCGCTGGGATCGCAGGAAGGCTATGATTTTTCTGAAGGCATGCCATGTCTGTGCAGGCCCCAGAGCCGTGGGGAAGACCTTGCGGCAGAAGTTTTTTGTCCTTGGTTGTAGCTTGATATAGCGAGCATGGGGGGGCAGGAAAGGCCCTGAACTGAAGAACCTTAGCTCTGTCGCTGAATTCTCTGCCTTCCTGGACTTGCCCTTCAGCATCGTAGCGTTGCCAGGCTCGGAAGCTGACGGCGGAGATGTCCGAGAAGATGAAGTCCCTCAAGGCTTGGCCAGGGAAAGGTCGGCTCGGTTTTGGGCTTGGTCTTTGGACTTTACGCTCAGATTCCCCGAATGAAGCCCCTGCAGCAAGGCTAACCGTCGGCATTTCGTCCGGCTCAAGTGCAGGCGCTCTGGAAGGTTCCCACCTCCGACATGAAAGGAAAGCGATGGAAAGTGCTTAGTTGTTTCATGGCTGTCTCCTCGTACGGTCATCGTGCGTACGCTCCGAAACCAGACACGTTGATAAAGGCACCGACAGCAGGCTTCCGGTTTCGATCAATGTACTTACAACTCCTGACAATGGAAAACATCCGCCCGAACACAGCGCGACTCCACGATTTCTTGAACTGTCGATCAGGAACAGATTGCTCGCAAGAATCCGGCCACCCGAAAAAGGGCTCATACCGGCTTTCGGGTTTGTTTTCTAGGACTATCGGGTTGGCGGTTGCAGCACACTTGGTTTACGGCTTGGCGATATCGGCTGATCGGCTGCCGTACGGTTTCAAACCAAAATAATCACGCACTCTGGGATCTCGGCTGAAGCTTGTATCGAGCCGGAAGGCCGAAGCTCCCAGTCAAACGAACCAGGTAACGGCTTGATATTGCTAGCCCAGCTCAAGTCTCATCGGTTGTAGAACAGAATCTACAGTGTTTGTCTATTAGTTCCGGTTCTATCTAGCTGTCGCGTCGTCGAGGTCCTGCCGAGTCGAGGTCGTCCCGCCGATGTTATGCAAGATTCTATAGCTTATCACTGAGGTCTCATCCCTGAGGCCATGTCATCAAGGTTCCCTTGCAGAGTCTGGTAATTTGTGTAGATCAGAAGCATTGTTTGGTATCTCCATGTGACTTTACCGTCGCCATTTCTGTAGCCAAGCCGTTTGTCAGGTGACACCGGATCTTCGACCCGCTGAGTTCGAGAAGGATGGGACCTTGCATTTTGCAGCTGAGGGTCAGTCGGGCTCGGTCGGTCCGGCTTGGTGTATGGGCGGCATGGGTTTGGAGCATCCAATGTCCAACAGATTGCAAGACGCTAGGGTTTTGCCCATAAGCCTTGTGCTCCCTTTTCACACATTATGAAGGTCTGTGTTTGCTGCCAGGATGATGACTCCAACTTCCACATTCAGTTCATTGCGGCTGCCGCGAACTTGCCGATGCCTCGGACGCAACCGCTCGGACTCGCCAATGATGTTTGCCGATTCCCAACCTAAGTGATTCAGTTGGTGGCGTGCGGAAACGCAGTCCAAAGTCCGTAGCTAGCAATCAAGCTTCTGATTCCTTGCGCTGCTCAACACCTTAAACTGCCTGATTGCGTTTGCATCACCATAGCGAAGGCAACGGATGATCCTGATCTCGCATGGTCTTATCCCCGAGCGCCGAGCGAAAGCTCAGAACCGCGAGCCGTAGAGCACGAAGCCAGGGTTCGCCTGTGCCAAACCCTGAACCGCTCATCCACCGTTGACATCTCCTTGCCAAGGCGGGCCCGGAATTACAAAATCCAGGAGGTGGACTTCCTCAAGGCGCGTGTCGACTTGGTGCTTTGCAGGGCTGCGGATACGGACGAAATGGCGCCGGGGGGAGTGTGCAGCGTTTGGCTTTGGTCCTTGGTCTTTGCACTCGCTTGCGGTTGAATATCGACCGAATTCGGATTGGAGTGTTGTGAGGTCGCTTCACTACTGTAATCACTTTGCGTCTGTGGCACCGGGTCCAACAAAAAACGGGACATCCGCCATGGCAGAAGCAGCAAGGAAATCGATGCTCTGACGCGATCGAAGGTTTTACAAGAGCACCCAAGCAAGGCTCCTGATTTGGCCCAAGTAACTCGGACGTGGAGACGCAACCTTGGATGTCTTCTCGGGAAGATGTGTACATCCATCGAAGTGTCACGCTTCGCTCCAGGGAAGTACGACATCATGCAGTTTCAGAGGAGGAGGAGGAGGAGGAGGAGGAGGAGGAGGAGGAGGAGGAGGAGGAGGAGGAGGAGGAGGATAAGCTTCGAAACGCACCAGACGACAGGCATGCCAATGCCAACTCTTGTTATTTTGTTCGTTGTCTGCCGAGTGTCCCAATTATTGTTTGATCTTTTTCGGAACCGGCTGGAGGTTTCCAGTCAGAGCGAAGCTTTATTTTCCGATGTACCCGCCTTTAGGTCGCCGCTTCGCGAAAATATGCGTGCTTGAAGACTCAACCTTCACCGATCTAGGGTTCCCGTTCTGGGGCCTGCGGCCTGCGCTGAAGCTCTGAACACTCCGAGTCGGCCCACATTGGCTAAAGGCTAAAGCGGGACCTTGAGCAGGGCCATGCAGGGCCCACCACGGCCAAAGCGGAAGCTTCAAGCGAAGGTCAAGATGACAGCGGGGAAGATCATCCCTGCAATAGCCACCACCACTGCCATGGTGACCGGCTTGGTTAGCGTGCCAACCTCAGAGTGTACGGTCTTTGAAGGAGCCTGGCAGCAAGCGATCTTTGGGGTTGGGGGCTTGAGGATGTGTTGTCAGGCCACTGCTTCAGGGTTTGGATTGGATGGAAGAGCATTCGGAGCTCCAGCTTGAGGCATGAAGCTTAGGGCATTAGGGATTGTGTCAAGCGACCTCTTCGGGTTGATGGGATTGTTGTTCGTTGGCGGAATCCCGGTATGAGCATCTTCGTATTTGTTACTTGTTGTACGATTTGCAGGTCGCACATCAAGCTTTAAGATCTTTGTTTATCAAGGCGACGGCCTTGTTCCCAACGTATTAGAATGTACACTCTGGCTGTCTGCAGAAAAAACAGAGGAAATCGTGGGTTGAAGGCCGTCCCTCGTCCGATCGCTATGCCACACATGCATTTGTCCCCCGAGGACCTCCTGAGGGTGTTTTAGTGCCTCAATCCTTCGGCCCATGGGAGATGCTTTGCCAAAGCTTCAAGCCCAAACACCGAAGCGCGAAGGGGCTTTGTATTCCAGTACGCACCTCCTCAATCCTGGGCTTCTGAGAGCAAGGGGCTTCTCACAAGGCCTCCAGTGAATGAGTGAATCCTTACCGGGCACAGTTCCCAAAACACGAAGGGGTCCCTGGCTATCACTGGCTTGAACATGCCGTATTTCCTTTCACATCCGAGCCCACCGTGGCCGCTGTGGCCCTTGATTTCTAACAGCACCAGCTGGACATGTTGGAGTCTGCCAGAGTACGACACTTTCCCGGCAAGCCTAAAAGATGCAATCGACAGGCGGAGCTCCTGAAGATCGCCACCCTGCGAAATCGCAAGGTCGCCGGGGCGGCTTCGAACTACGGATCTGTTCACAGAAGTTAGACATGATCTTGTCGGTCCATGTTCGAGCTGCTCGGTGGCGGAGTTTCACCATGCCGCGGCATTGGTTCCCAAGATGCAGGTGGTCATAGAGGTCAGGGCCAGCTTTGTTCTTAGTCTCACTGAATTTAACAGGTCGTCGATATGGTTGTCGAAGCCGCAGTCGTTGTGGTCGTCATAGTCGCTGCCGCAGTTGCAGTCGTAGCTACTCGTAGTAGTGTAGTAGTGGTCGTCGTAGTAGTGGTCGTCGTCGCAGCGTTGGTGGTAGTGGTACTAGTAGTAGTAGTAGTAGTAGTAGTAGTAGTAGTAGTAGTAGTAGTAGTAGTAGTAGTAGCAGTAGTACTAGTAGTAGTAGTAGTAGCAGTAGTAGTAGTAGTTGTTGTTGTACTAGTAATAGTGGCACTACTGCAGTGGTAGTGGTTGTAGCTGTAGTAGTATCAGTAGCAGCAGTTGCAGCAGCACTAGTAGTCTCAGTAGTACTAGTAGTGGTCGTCGTCATCGTAGTCGTAGTTGTCGTAGCAGTAGTTGTAGTCGTAGTCGTAGTAGTAGTCGTATTAGTAGTCGTCGTAGTAGTAGCAGTAGCAGCAGGAGTAGCAGTAGCAGTAGCAGCAGCAGCAGCAGTAGCAGTCGGAGTAGAAGTAGCAGGAGCAGAAGCAGTGGCTGGAGCCGTAGCCGTAGCACTAGCAGTAGCAGTAGCAGCAACAGCAGGAGGAGGAGTGGTGGCGGTGGTGGTGGTGGGGAGGTGGTGGTGCAGGTAGTAGTAGTAATCGCAATGTTAGTGGTGGTGGTGGTAGTGGGAGTGGGAGTGGCAGTAGTAGTAGTGGTGGTAGTGGTAGTGGTAGTGGTAGTCGGAGTAGTAGTAGAAGTAGAAGTAGCAGTAGCAGTAGCAGTAGCAGTAGCAGTAGCAGTAGGAGTAGTAGTAGTAGTAGTAGTAGTAGTAGTAGTAGTAGTAGTAGTGGTAGTGGTAGTGGTAGTGGTAGTGGTAGTGGTAGTGGTAGTGGTAGTGGTAGTGGTAGTGGTAGTGGTAGTAGTAGTAGAAGTAGAAGTAGAAGCAGAAGTAGAAGTAGAAGTAGAAGTAGAAGTAGAAGTAGAAGTAGAAGTAGAAGAAGCAGTAGCAGTAGCAGTAGCAGCAGCAGCAGCAGCAGCAGGAGCAGGAGCAGGAGCAGTAGCAGTAGCAGTAGCAGTAGTAGCAGTAGTAGCAGTAGTAGCAGTAGTAGCAGTAGTAGCAGCAGTAGCAGTAGTAGCAGTAGTAGCAGTAGTAGCAGTAGTAGCAGTAGTAGCAGTAGTAGCAGTAGTAGCAGTAGTAGCAGTAGCAGTAGTAGCAGTAGTAGTAGAGTAGTAGAGTAGTAGAGTAGTAGAGTAGTAGAGTAGTAGAGTAGTAGAGTAGAGTATAGTTTCGAAGAGTTTCGTATATGTAACTGTACATAGTCTGCGGGCTGGCTGTTGTGCTGTATGCTTTTATGCATGCTCTTCTGTAATTCGTATTCATAACATTTTTGGCTCAAGTGAGCACGGCAGTGTGTCGTTGGTAGCTTCTCGTTGCCGCGACGCAATTGCGCGCAGCCCGTCCTGGGCGGACGTTCGACCTGTCACGGTCGTTGGACTTTCTGCTTGGACGGAAAACGAGGGGGCGTGCTGCCCCTTTGGGTTTCCGTTCTCCACAATTGGGGGCTGTTCTGGGAAACGGCCACCCAGGCGGCTGCTGCGCCGCAATCTTTTAACGTGGCCTCGAAGGCGCGCTTGTCGTGCGCCTTGAGGCCGTGGTCCTGTGTGGCACGGGGCTCTCTCCTTCGCTAGGCGACCATGAGCGCTGAGGTCGCAGGTCAGCCGGAAGGAGCCACGTTGCTGAGGTGCATCGAGGATGGGTCAGTGGAGTAACCGGAGAAGATGCCCTTTATGTACTGGCTCCGTTGGCGTAAGGAAACGGGGTCCCGTCCCACCAAGAAGAAGGACGGACGATCCACGACGCTAGCAGATGAACAGCGTCTGTGGAAGGAGACGATGGAATTCCTCTACGACAACTTCGATGCCGAAGAGGAAGAGGAAGAAGATGAAGAGGAAGATGAGGAAGCTCCAGCTGCGGAAGAGGGCCCGGGTGCTCAGGATGGCGATCCGGGCCCCAGCTCTGAAGAGCTTCTGCCGGAGGCCGGGGTACCGGCTCCGCGTCCTGCCGCTGCGCCGGCGGACGTGGCCGAGACGGCGCGCCGTGTTGGTGCGCTTGCTCTCTCGCCGGTGGCCGGCGGCCCGGCCCGTTCCGGGCATCCCTCGTCTGCTGGGACGGGTGGTCCCGTCACGGCGGAGACCCTGCAGGCGGACCTGCGGGAGCTCTACCGTCCCGACCAGGAACCGGTCGCGGATTACCTGACGCGGGTTTCAAGGCTGGTTGTGGCCTTGAAGGCGCACCAGCCAGAGGTCACGGTGGAGGATCTTGAGAAGATCACTACCAAGGCCACCATCCTTGCCGAGGAATACGGCAAAATGGGAGGTGACTGGCACCCTGCCAGGATGGTGCGGGCCCTGCGCACCAGGTTTACCGTTGCCGCGGTTTCTCTTGGGTCGGAAGACCGAGAGGAGGGCGAGAAGGAGATCTCGTGCCTCGGCGAGCTGATCTTGGCCCTGGGAGGCAAGAGCAGCGGCGATCCCGAGAAGGTTTGGAGCACTCCTTCTTCTGTCCCGGCCCTGGCGGCCCGGACGGGCGCCGTTGCGGAGTCGGGCTCTAAGTCCGGAGCACAGGCGCCTCTCCCGGTGGACCTTCAGCTCGCGATCCCTGAGGATCCGCAACCTGGTCCGGGGGACTCACCCCTGAAGTCCCGCCTTGCGGCTCTGGAGATAGAGCTCGAAGGGCTTAAGAAGGATAAGCCCGGCGAGCCTCACTCCGCCAGCGGCGGAGCAGGAGAGCTCGCTGCAGCTTTGGCGGCCCAGACCGAGGCGCTCAAGGAGGCCTTGGCGTCTCGCGGAGGTCAGACGTCGATCACGACCGTGAAGACGGACCTCCAATGGCCCTCGCTCACCGACGATCGCTCCGACATCCGGGACGTGGTCCAGTTCTACGAAGAGTTCGAGGACGTCTGTGGCCTTGCCAACCACTGCAAGGGGATGAATTTCCGGGAGAAACTCATCGCCCTTCGTGCTCGCTGCCGCGGCTCGAGGCTTAAGACCTTTACTAACGTGTACAAGGCTGCCTCCAAGACCGGGGAAGTTACTGAGAATCCCCAAGCCGTTTACGAACGGATCAAGCAGCGGCACCTTGTCTTCGGCGAGAGCCGAGAAGAGAAGGAGATGAGGGTGGACGCGGAGCACGTCGCCCTCACTAAGGGCCGTCTCACAGGGCACCAGTTCGAGCCCCTGTTTGAGGCCTCCAGCGCGGAGCTGGAGAGTGTGGGTCTTGGCAAGACAGCGAGGGAGCTCTTCCTAAGCTACTTGCGCAAGATGCCTCCACATCTCCAGAAGGAGATCCGCGGTGATAAGCGGTTGTGGCCTAGCGACGGCGCATCCGCAGGGCTTCGAGGCCCTTCGACCTGGGAAGAAGCGCATAAGGTCGTCCTCGAATATGAGCAGCGTGAGGCTGCGCATCGGGGGACGGCTAATAGCGTGTACGCAGGTTCGACGGAAGACCCAGCCCTGTCCGCCGCGCGGAAGGAGGTCGAGAAGCTGAGGACGGAGCTCAAGGCTTCTAAGGCCGCGGCCAAGGCGGCCGCCTCTTCCACGCTTGCCGCTGGTCCGAAAGGAAATGGAAAGGTAAGCCTATCTGTTTCCATTTCCGCGACCACGGGAACTGCCCAAAAGGGGACGCGTGCCCTTACTCGCACGACAAGGAGCTCCGCAAAAAGGCCCTCGCGGCCAAGAAGGAGCGGGCCGCGTCCACCCTGGCGACAACGCCGGGGAAGGGCAAGGGCAAGGGCAAGGGTGGACCCGGAGGGCAGCCCAAAGGCAAGGCCAAGGCCAAGCCCAAGGCGAAGTCCAAGGCGGGCGCGAAGCCGCCAGGGACTATCTGCCCTTGCTTCAAGAAGAACGGGTCGTGCCGTAAGGGAGCGGACTGTGACATGGTCCATTCGCTTCCCGCCACTGGGGGAGCCGCGTTGCCTTCGAACTGGGCGGCCCCGAGTGGCGCCGGGATGGTGAATCCCTTCGCTACGCTCTCCATCCAGATTGGGAGCGCTGGCACGGTTGTTGCGGCGAACTCCTCCGCTTTCCCGCTTGCCAAGAGCTCGTCGTCGAATTTCAGCTCGTTGGACGAGCTGCCTCAGGACTGGTGGCACCTCTGCGAGAAC